CTGGCACTCGTGAGCCTGGTATGTCAAAGAAGGCATCTATCTGTGGAGGAGGGGGGCTGGGGGTGAGCTTGGGGGGATGGGGAGTCAGCATGGGGGGCTGGGGGGTCAGCTTGGGGCCTGGGAGGTCAGCATGGGGGGCTGGTGGGGGATCTTTGCTACCCAGGGTGCACCCATAGCCATGCAGGAGTGTGTGCGTGTGTGCAGAAAAAAAGTGTGTATGCGAAAGAAAATGCAAGTGCAAAGGGGTGTTTGCAGGAGCACAGGTGCAAACTTGGGTGTGCAAAAGAAAGATGAGTGTGTGAGGTCGTTTCTGGACGCAAAGGAGAGTTGTGTGAAAGAAAGATGCAGGTACAAAATTGTGAATGCAGCAGAAAGGGACGTGCAAAGTGGGACGTGCAAAAGCAAGATCTATGTGCCCAGCCTTGTGTGCTCCCAGCACGGCCTCCCAGGGTGCCTGTGGATGTCCCCGTGCCCCGGCAGCTCCCTCACCTTGGATCCCATGCAGATGTTGAGCTGCTCCTTGAAGTGCCCAGCCTGTGCTGCAGCTTTGCTCTTCTCCTCCAGCTCCTTCCCAAGCTGCCCCTTCTCCGCCAGCAGCTTCTTCTTCTCCTCCTGCCCTCCCTTGACCTGTTTCTCCAAGTCCTGCAGCCTCTTCTCCAGCTCCTGCTTCTCCCCGGAGCAGTTGATGCGACACTGGAGCAGGTTCATGTCACAGACACTTTTCCCCACGTACTTGGTCTCCCGGTCCTGCTGCCAGCGGAAAAGCCCCTCTATCTGCTGGGTCAGCCAGTTGATCTGGTCTTGGGCAGCGCTGCAGCCGTAGGAGTTCAGCGTCTCCTTGATGCGCTGGTAGGTGCTGGCAACGTGGCTCAAGGTCCCGCACTCGTGTTTCAGCAGCTCCAGGTTGGTCCTGGTGGATTCCCAGAGGGTTCGGGTGCTGAGCAGGTCCCGCTGGCAGCTCTCCTGCTCCTGGGTGGTTTTGGTCAAGGTGGCACCAGCTTTGCGGCAGTTTTCCTCCAGCTCCTTCTTGGCCAGGGTGGTCTGGTCCAGCTGGCTCCTCAGCAGAGCCTTCTCAGCTGGGGAGGAGGGGACCATGTTGGGGTGCAGTGTCCTCCCACAGCCCAACTCCCACCCCACATCTCATGGTGATGTTTCTGCCTGGCCTGGGGATGGGGAGGCACCCCCTGTGCAGGCTGTGGTGGATCCCTGAGGGGTGCTGGGGGGTGTCCAGGGGACTGGAAGGGGGGGTCCCAAGGAGGGAGGGACACCTTTGGGTGGAGGAGGTCCCTTACCACTGCAGCTGGAGTTGATAACACTGATGGTCACGTGGCACTCGTCCAGCTTCTTTGCCTGGTAGATGATGATCGTCATCATCTCCTGCAGCTGCGGTGGGGTGGGAAGAAGAGGAGGAGGGTGAGGACAACTTCCCTGCCCTGGGGAGGATGAGGAGGAGGGTCAGGACACCCCCTCAGCATCACCTCACTCCCCCGGGGGGCTGGGGAGGAGGAAGAAGAGGGCTGTAAGTTGGGGACCCATTCAGTGAGGGGCTTCTGTGGGGATGTCAGGACTGAGACCCCCTCCCGGGGTCTGGGGGGGCACATTGGCATCATCAACAGGCTCTGCCTCCCCCCCACGTGCTTGAGAGATGAAGTGAGGTCCAGCATCCACGGGTGGGTACCCAGGTTTGGGGGGGGAGGACACTCACCTTGGGGATGGGGTTGGGGACCTGGGTGCTGTTGCACTTCTCCAGGTCCTTCTGCACCTTCTGGACCAGGGCCTGCAGCCCCTGCTTCTCCTTGAGGGTGGCGTTGAGGACGCGGGTCAGGTTGATGTTCCTCCCGCTCAGGGTGATGATCTTGCTGTAACGATCCTGGAGCTGCTCCTCCAGCAGCAGCAGGTGGGTGTCGGTGCCCGCCTGGGCATTCCCATACACCATGAACAGCACCAGCCCCAGGATGATGAGGAACTGGATGAGGGAGGTGAAGAGGAAGATGTACTTCACATAGAACCCGCAGTCCCGCTTGGGCATCGCCTCCTTGCTCTCCAGACCGAACCTGGCCATGGCGAAGCTGCTCTTCTCCATCCCGACCAGGCTCTGCCCACCCTGTGTCCCCCGTCGAGCCCCTTATCACTGGGGGCCACGCCGGGGCGGGGCCAGCCCCTCCTGCCGTGTTTATATTGCTGCATTTAATATTTCCTCCTGCCGGGCTCCTTCCTGCCTCTCCGGATGCCTCCGACGCGCCGGGTTATCACGGCTGAGCTTCTGTTTGGTGGCAGGACTATTGTTCCTGGTTGCTAAGGGCTGGGGGCGAAGCCTGGGACCCTGCTCACCCTCCCTGGGCTGGAGCCACGTGCTCCCCCGGGACTGGCGGGTGCCCCAAAATAGCCCCCAGCACGGGGGGTACTGGGGAGTGAATCCCCCCGGGTTGAGCCACTGGCAGTTGCTGGTGGGGTGATGGATGGAGATGCCACCACCTGCACCAGCACCTTGGGTTGGCCCTGGTGCCACATCCTTGTGGTGGCACGTGAGTCACCACTAGCCCCCCCCACTTACCAGTTTGGTGGCACTCAGGGGCTTAAATCCCACGGCTCCAGCTCGTGGGGCAGGGAAAGGATGTGGCCAGGTCCTGGCTTGCAGGTGAGGTGGCAGTGGGCATGGAACGAAGCCACTTGTGGGATCCTGATTGTGGCCCCTCTGGGTGCTGTCACCCCACAGAGCCACCATCCTGCTGTGGGGCCCAAGGAGCCACTTCTGGTCCCTGTCCCCTGCTGGGGACATCTCAGCTGGGCAGTGACTCAGGGGCAAATGCAGACCTCCCTGTGCCCACCCATGAGACCCCCGTGTCCCCAGGCTTCTGAGGAAGCTTCAGCCAAGCAGATTGAACACGGGTGGCCCTGGCCCTGTGTGAGGACAGTCACCAATGCCAGTGTCACTCTCACAGCCACTCAGCCCAGATGGATGGAAAGAGCTCTGGGTCTGCAGCCGTGTTGCCCCCCCTTCCCCCCCCTCCCCAAGTCCTGCTCGGGGTCTGGGGTCCTCAGGGCCACCACAGACGGGGTGTCTGGGCTGCAGGACGAGCCCCCCCCCCCCCCCGGCGT